TGGCTTTCCATCAAAAACAGTAAAAGTTTCGTAATGATGTCGGTCCAGATTGTCTGCAAATTTTTATGGTTTATGGTAATTCTACTTGAACACAGAAAGAAGATTCAATGACCTAAATGATTCGGAAAACTGAAATTAAACCATTTCGAAATCCAATGCAACAGTTTTCTCGAATACTATCTTACTATCTTACGAAGAGAATCTGAAATATTGCCTATGAGAAAATCCAAAATGTGTAAATCGATCAAATCGAGCAGTTTTCTGCCATGAGCATAATCCTTTTGTCGTTTAACGGTTTTTGTACAGTAATCATTGTCTTCTTGCCAATCAGCCATTTGGTCCCGCTTTGAATATGTCCTAAATACCGAGAAATGGAAAATTTGATACAGAATGCTTGCAAATAAAGTAAATTTCAATGAAATGGTTGGTACCACTCATCATAGGTTAAATACATTTTCCTGGTACTAATTCGTATTAATTAATTTTATATTAGTAAAAAAAGTATAAAAATGAAAATTAAATTTTTTTAAGTTTTGCCTTCTATAAGGTGATTTATTATTTTTTCGTGGTACTCCACGATCATATGGCAGAAAAACTTGGACTGAACCCTCTTTCAAATCTGGTTTTCCACATATCGCATGATTCGTGTCGCAGTAATAATCACATTTACTCACAAAACACAGATTTTTAGCTGAAAAGTTAAATTAAATTAGTAAGTATCATGGATATTTATATGTGAAAATTACTAAATCTTCATATGAAAGAACATTATTGTCTGAAATATAGTCAGGCAAAATAGTGTTTTCTTGTAATTATAACTGTGATGCATTGAATAGACAAGGTTCCAAAAATGTTTGGTACCTGGTGATATAAAAAAAGTCTTTTGAAGTACTTTCTCGGCTTTTTCCATTAATTCCGACGTCATGTTGAATACTCGACCAACCGTTGGCACAGCTCGACGAAAACCAATAACTCTAAATTATCACAAAGCGATATATTTCTTTTATTTTTTATTTTTTAATTAATTTTGCTATTTATAAAATCTACTAAAATCCGATCTCTAATAGCTGTTACTGCGATGATAATTCGATTCATCTTCCAGAATATCCAGAAAGAAAAATAAAAATAACCGGTCCAAGTGGAATGTTGCTATTTCAGCATTGTGGCGCTCGAAATCACTAAAATAAAAGTGATTCGGATCAGTTTCGTGATCTCGGCCGAACCTAAAATTCAGATAACTGTTTCATCAAAATTTTCTCATTAAGGATGAAGGTAAAGGAAATTTTTAAGCTTTCCATTAGACCTTCTGCAGATCATATTTGCAGATGGCGTACATTTTTACATAATATTCTATATGAAGGAAAGTACCTCATCGGCTTAAAGACTGCTTGTTCATCATTTTCAAATGTAATAACTAATTTGACTTGAGAACCGCCACTCATAATAGCTACATTGTTTACTTGCAATGTGTGAAGATCATTCAATAACCTATCAATTATCTAAAATCATGAATAACAAATCAGAGGACAAATTGACATTCGCAGTTTGCCAATATTTACAAAAAGATTTATTGCAAATTTGTAATATCAAGACGAATAGGAATTTCATATTGAATAAATTGATAATTTTCTTGGGAAATTCAATTTAAAGTAATAAATTTATCTATAAAATCAAACCTCAACATCTCTATACAAATCACAGCTTCCAATTTGCGCATAAAATTTTTCCCAAGAATCCTTCTCCGAAACAATTTTTCTACAATTGAAATGCAATAGGTAATGAGAAATATTAAAGTTTTGAGCAAAAACTGAAAATAAAAGTGTTTTTTTGGATTTTTCGAAAAAAAATAAAAATTTGAAGAAATTACATTAAATCTGAAATTTGGTTTCATTTCCTTTCTCTTTCTTTGATAATGAAAATATCACATTTTCTATTTGAGTGGCTAGTGGAAACCCAGTTTTATCCCTATTTCTAGTGACTCCATGGCTGAAATATTAGGCTTGCAAACGGCTATTGTATCATAATCGTATCGCATCATGGAATCTCTAACTCGATGTTCTATTTTATTTCTCATTAGACTTAATTCTACTACGACGAAATGAAAGGAGAAAGGAGAATATATATATTTCACTATTATTTCAAAGAGATCAATCAAATGAGACAAACCGTTGTGTTTTCTTCCAAAAATCTTTGAGAGTTTCGTTAAATTCACATTCTTTGGCGATTAATTCGTCCAAGTTGAGCTTCGATGCATAAGAATCAAGCCTTTCAATGAGATTACTATTATAATATTGACCTAAATGCATTGACCAGCTTAAACTTGTCGAAATTTTTGCTAAAATTAAAGCGTTCGAGGAGGATGAACTTTAAATAACCTGCTATATCACTGAAATCAATGCCATAATCTTCGTTTTCTAAATTCAGATCATTTTTTTCTAAATAACGCTGATACCTTCCGATGAAAATTCCGCATTCTATAAAAATATATATTTTATAAATTCAAATATATAAATATTTTATTTTATAAAAATATTTTGTAATGTTATAATGAATTCAATAAATCACCAATAAATTTTTATTGTCTTAATATTATTGCTCTTTTAAAAGCTATTCGAAAATTTTTTCTGCAATTTACTTCAGCAACAAAACTGATCTAATGATAATGATAAACGATTAAAGTAAGTGACTGCTCGCATCATTTGTGGTTTGGATAGTGCCACTAGCTTTTAGAACAATAATTCTGATAAAGGAGTGTCAAATTGGAAATAAAAGGATGCGGCAGGTAGATCGCCAACGCTACTCGGTTTTTTTAAGAAGAGATGATTTGTTTCTATTTGTGCAGTGGAATAGAATCATAGCACTCTGCAAAGAAATCCTACGATTCAATTATCTATTCCATTTATCTCTAAGCAGTTAATGTTTTCTTATAACAAATTATCCTGGATAAGCGAAACAAGTTTTTTTTCTAAATGCTCTATGTTGTTATGCCATTGTAAGCAAATCATATGTTCTATTTTTTTATAAAATTACAAAATCATCATTTTCTTTTTTATTAATGCAGTTAATGGTGTACGTACGAGCTCATTAATTTATGTGTTTATCTAATTTATCTAATATTTATTTTAAATATGCATGAAAATTTTTTTGAGAATTACTTCTATTAACCAATAATTTCGAATATAAATATTAGATTAAATAAAAAATATACCTTCTTGGGCATTTTTCAGCAATAATGAGAAAATAATTATAATACAAGCAAAAACGAACACGAGACCTAAGCATCGCTGTAAATAGTGAAGACGCATGACGGAAGGCTATAACGGCTTCTGCTTTAATCACGAATAATGAGTGTTATTAAAAGGCATTAATTTTTGTCATCGCTAAAATTTTGCGATAAATTCGAACAAATCTTCTTCTAACATCTCCCATCAGTGGCCACAAGGATAAGGCATTATTTCCAAATCTTTCGGTTGGACGCCGTACTTAAAAGAACAGAAGACACTCCATTTTACACATGCTCTATTGGTGTTCAATACGTGTCTATATCATTCCGATATTTTGATAATCTGACTTAAAAGTATAAAGCACAGCCTTATTCATCACAGAGTCACTTACAGAAAAAGTGCACATGGATCATCCTGACTTCGAGTTTACTGCTCATATCGAGGAGAGAGATTGCCATTTTGAGTCGTATGATTGGGAATAATAGATTAAAAAAAAAAGATTAATTTCATATTTTTATTCTAATATGTATTCTAATAAAATTATTCAACAGTGCACCAACAATGATTTAATAAAGGCCATAGTATGGATGAATTGATGTATATGTAAACATAGATATGTATGTATGGTAATATTAAAGCTGCTTTTTGAAATTATTCATCTCTCTGTTATATATTCTATCCTACAATACCTATAAATTGGGTTTTGGGTAGCGTTGACGCTACCACCCAAGAAGTATACAAATTAGTCCAGAGCATAGTATTTTTAATACGCTGATGATGTTGTCCTTCTTGCTGGCAGTTAAGAAAAATTGTAAGGGTCTTTAGAATGAGATTTCAAAAAAATGAGCCTTCAAAGTAATATGAATAGGAAAAATTTTTTTCAAGTTATATTGTAGACGCTGATAAAATCGAATAAATTCAATTCAATTTTTAAATTCATGAGCTATTGAAGAAGTGCCTGATTATCTTAAATATCTTGGATCCATTACTGTTCCTAACGGTGCTGCAATAAATGAAATTCCAGCTCCAGCAAAATGTATATCCTTTCGTCTGGCGAAATCTCTCTTTTCTCTGGAATCGCCTCAAAAGTTGCTGACAGTCTATCTGGCTCTACATCACGCATAACTCTACATTCTGCTATATCTCTTCGGAGCTTGGCTAATGAAAGTGGAGGCTATCAAGAAGTTCTTTGGCCACTCTTACCAAAAATATATTCTACAAATCTACAAACTAGATAAAATCGCACTCATGATTGCAACTTTTCTCGAATACCATCTGTAATCAGAATACCGTTATAAAGCGTTATCTGCATTTTCTTAGCTAGTTCTTCGTCCCTCATCACAAAAATTTTGGCTCATCTCGCTACTTGTTAGGTCTTAAATCTTGGTAGATGGCTAATCAAGTCTGGAACGATACGATCAAGGGAGATTTTTGAATGGTCTGGTGCCAGCGATATACTGGCTTAGGCAGTAGAAAGTGGAGTGGTGCTTTCAGGATTGCCGTCGTATTGTGAGACATCGAAATGTCTTACCTTTGTCACCGGTGAGTAATGGCAAGGAATATTAAACCAAAAGATTATTTCATGAAAATTAAAAAATTTTGGCCCACTTATTATCTTTAAGTGATATTTGAATTAACCAAATCAGAAATAGCACAAGTTGTTAGAAGAAATTTTCAGCTTTATGAAATTAGCCAATGCAAACTTTCTATAAGCAATTTTTCTGGCGATTTATCGAGGACAATTCAAATATACAGTAAAAATCTCGCAAAAAAAAGAAAAAAAAATTAGCTCACTCCGCTTAAAGTCAGCAGTTCTATTAATTCAAGTTAGACTTATTTCTGCTTCGATGAAATAAAAGGGGAAAGGAGAACAAGGGAAAAACGAATATACGTTTTATGATGATTATAAAAATCTGGTGCAGACATATTTATAAAAATGTAGTGTCTACATCCAGCCAAGTACAAGAGTAACAACAGCAGCAGATTATAAAATTCTGGTGCAGACATATTTATAAAAATGTAGTGTCTACATCCAGCCAAGTACAAGAGTAACAACAGCAGCACAAACGAAGTGGACCATCGTCTCATATAATAAAAAGAATAAAAAATTTCCGTCAGCGGAAAAACAGTGATTGAACAGATGTTATTTGAATGTTGGATTGTATAAGCAACAGAAACAATACGACAAAATGGATAGTTATCATGAAACCATCGACGACGAATAGTGATAATGATTCAAGAGGAAATTTTTCCATTTTAAACATTGCGCCAAATATTTCGCCTGGTATCATAGGTTTGATTTGCTAAATGTTAGCCTACGTAGCATTAAAAGTGAAATCCGAATGACGATATGCACCCATCTGCTTCTCCTCTTCTCAAATAATCCCGCGACAAGACAGCTCATCTAAAAAACCAATGAAGCTAGCCAATGCATAGAGTGGCCTTTCGATAAATTTTCTCATTACAAAACACTTGAATACTATTAAATGATAATATAATGAGAAAAGAAGTGTGTATACGATCAGTCTTATCATATCACAAGTCGAGATTCTCTTTATTATAAAAATAAGTAACGAAAAATGATAACCGTAGAAAAAGCCTAATTTGCGAATTTTATTTTTTCTTAATGCTGATTATCAATCAGTTAATTAATTTCTTTATTCTTTATTATTACTTTATTAAGTTTATAAAATTTATTGCATTGAAATTTTGATTGTCCATTTGAACGGCTCGGAAAATAGCAAAATGAAATTTTTCCTAAATACTTTAAAAATTTTTCATTTAATATCTTTTACCAAAAATTATTTTAAAAATAAAGCGATTTGTTCATAGGTAGAAAAAAAGCAGAAATTTGATTAATAATTCTTTTATTTATATAAAGAAATTAGCAAGAGAATTTAAAATTTTTACTAAAAACCCATATTATAAGCTGGAAATAAGCCGTGAAACTGGAAATTTCCATAAAAATTATTTGGATTTTTCGGCTGTTAAGGAAACGCTCCACTTATTGGTTGCCAGTGGATCCCACTAAACCGAAATGCTGCTCTATATTAAAAGATGAATATTATTTCAATAGGAAAACAGTCGAAATATAATTTAAAAATTTCCGTTGAATGGTTTTGAATGATTTTTTGCCTTCATCGATGAAAAAACAACACACTATGGTGAAATCTGCCATTCCATTTTTTCTTAATTTTGCGCATTTCATCATTGTTTTCTATTTAAACAAGAATAATGAACCATTTTACTTAAAATAACCCGTATATACAGAATTATATCACAAATACTGATAGAATACGAAAAATAAAAAAAATGAGGTGCCAGAATTATTTGAAAATTCTTTTTCTTTTTTTAAAGAGTTCTCACCATTACTGGTTGAACTCGCTCCGCTGGCTTGTCGTACTAAACAAATATACCAGGGAATCCTTGGCGATAGAAGGGTGAGTCGGCAACATCGCCTGAGTTTTTGGAAAAGTGTATTCCAGGGGGAAATAAAACCTCAGCACCGGCACTCCGGATTGTACAACAAGCCACTAAGTCATTCTACTCTTTCGATTACTTGAAAGCTGTATTAATGAAAGTTGTTACAAAAGTATAATTAACTGCTTCAGTGATTGAGGCAGAGTAGCAGACTGATTGATGTTTAAACTATTGGTTGCCCAAGTTTCGGATCTCCGATAAGAACCCCGACAATACTCAAAAAATTCGCGTGAATCGGTTACTTCTCTCTCTATTTGCCCTTGTCGCAAAAAATTCGCAACAAAGTAACAGCCAGTGGAAGAAAAAAATTAACAAGAACTGGTGAGCGCTAACCATATAATTTGTCTCATGTAGTTAATTAGATGGTACCATTTCATTTAGGAACCTAATAGGAGTTTAAGTATTGCATAGATTTTTATTGCATATATTTCATATAAGTTATCGCTGCAATTTTAAATTTGTCTCTAAATTATTAAAGTCTGTATTCTTCTCTCCCTTCGTTTCTTCATTTTCGCCGTCATTAGCCAAGAAATCCATTGCATTCTCGAGAATCTCCTGGAATCATCGCTTATTTAAATTAAAGAAATTTATTTCACCTATATCACATTTTTTGACCGAGTCTTTTTCATGATTAATAAATAAAAACATTCTTTAATTGTAAGAAATATTCACATCACTATGGTATTCCGCCATTACAACATCTTTGATTCCATTTTTTTGTTGTTTTACACATTCATCGATGGCCAACATTATTTTATACAACCGTCGTTCAAGTGCCGAATAATGCTTTGTGGCGAGAATCGGTTTAACTGGATCAGCAGACATTGACCTAAGAGGTGAATAGTTAAAGAATAGAAAGATTCTGGTGTCAACCTTATTCACCAGTCTCTTGTATGATCATTTCATTTTCTGATAAGGTGAAAAAATCAGTGGAGCGAGTAAAGTCAGTTCTCATCTCATCTTTCATTTTCAAAG